TATGGGGAAATTTTACTACCAACCTACAACACAATAAAAAGCAAGTCACCCACTACACGCTAACGTGGTATAGGTCCGCCTTTGACCGACGCTATAGCAAAAACAAAGATATACGAAAGGCATTGCCGAGCGTATCCAATCGGTTACGGCAGCACCTGGACAGCGCTCGGCCCGTATCCGATCGGATACGCCCGCAGTGAACGTGTTAAAGATCCCTCCACAGAGTTGTTTACATTTTGGCCATTTTGTGAATAAGACTTTTTAATGAAACAGCTGTTCATTTTTATTTTTTAAAATTGTATTTCAAACAACACACATTTATTGGGAGTTACTGAATTCCACCAAATAAGTATTTGCAATGTTATTTTCTGATTTTAAAATTGATTAACTTCTTTATCATGTCATGTTTTTCAATATAACGTTCCATTACAAAATCAGTGGAAAATCCTTTTATCACAGCAATTCTTAAATTATTTCTTATTGAACTATTTTATATCTATTGTACGGGTTGGTGTCTGCCTTTTTCACAACTTTTGCCAACATTTTATCATATTATTCTACACATATCAAATATTTATGAAGAAATATCTGCTCTTATCGTGTCTAAAAAATCCAAACATAGAAACCTAGCCTGAAATGGTACCCATCTTGACAAATTATTTGAACCTGCCTATATTACGAACTTTGGCGCACTGGGTTGGTAACATTATTGAAAATCACACGACATTTTGGCTGTAATATATGGTACAAAGAGAAAATACTAGCTATTTAAGCAGCTACTGTCATGACAGAAAGGTCATATTGCTTTTAAACTAGATCACATAATCCTTTATAAGATATGTTGATTAACAATATGTAAACGTCAATATATACGTAACAGCCAATTTACAGTATTTTTGCTTTTTGGAAATGTCCCATTGCTATGCCATTTGCATTATTTGTTGCAAATGAAGCCATATGCAAATGAAGCAAGACCATATGAACTAGGAGGCCCCTAACAGTCCAAGAATAAAAGCCAACTTCACTCCAAGTATTCCACTACACCTAACATTCCTTAGAGAGATTATATTGACAACTTGATGTTATCGATACCGTAAGGCTGAGACAACTAACTGGCATCCCCCATGTCAAGGAATTCCATCTTTAACAGTAACCCCACAATAAATTTTTCAAAACTATGCTAGAGGGTTCATACATTGGTACAGAAGTACGATATGAACTGACACGACGTGACGAAGGAAAAATCAAACTTACACTGTAACGGATAATCCTCCCTTTGAAGTTAGAATATGTCTTCCCAAAAATATTTTCTTTTGAAATAAAATCATATTACACTGATGAAATCACGGAAGTGTTTAACTACAAAAGATCCACCAATACGATTTTAATACTATTTAAAGGTTCTTCCAAAGGAAGAGATAGCATATAACATACTAATAATAACTCCGATAACGTATGGTACGGGGAATATTTTATTCATTGAATGATCAACCAAATTTGGCAACTAACGCAATTAATATCATTATTGTTTTTACACGTATTACTCTTTAAACCACTAAATGCTTAAAATATGTATATTTCACCCAATTTATCACAGTTAGATGAATTAACGTAAGCCTTGAAAGTAACCGTCGATTTCGACGGGACTCACCTAGTTGTTTTTAATAGTTGATAAAAGACATCTATAAATAAATGTATATTAAAGAAATAAAATGGGCTTTTAAAATATAGTTTGGTTGTATGTCCTTTGAACTTAATGAAATTTAGGTACATATAAGATGCTTAAAAATAATGCAATATTTAAAAATAAGTACTAAATATGATGGAACACCCAACTAATTTATTTTGGTTCTGTTGTTGTAATGTTAGGTTTATATAGTTGCAATTAATTTTACATTTACCTAATGTGCGTGGAATAAAAGTAACGTCTTTGGAAAAGTAGCTAAAATTGTAGCTATAGCTACATTTCATTGTAGCTGTAGTTGTAGCTAGCTACTTTCTCGGAACTGTAGCTGTAGCTGTAGCTAAGCTACTTTTTTGTAAATGTAGCAGTAGTTGTAGCTAGCTACATTTTAAAAGTAGCTTCCCCAACACTGGATATATTAAGATTCCAAGAAGTTGTTTGTACGGCAAATTTGTATAGCATTTGTCACTTTTTACCTTCTGAAGTTTTGGAATTATTGGCAAAGATACCGGTTTTGCATTTTCCATCCCGAATTTATGGATTATTTTCTCAATCAACTTCGATTGATGGAGCTTAAGACCCTCGTGACATTTCTCAATAGAAATACCTAGGAACTCTAGGTGATTTTCATTAGTTAAGTCCTTCATTTCAAAAGTGGAGATCAGCTTAGATTTGACACTTAACAAATCTTTCTTTTCTTTAGCAAAAATTATCACATCATCAACGTGATATATACGTATACACATATATATACACATATATACATAGATATATATACATTTTTCGTGAAATAAAAACATGGGTCAGATTTAGATCGTTCAAAACTAATACCAATTAGGAATTCGTTCAACCAAAATTGACAATTAAGTTCTTTTAGTTACCATCCTTGCGACAGGTGCAAACATTTCTTCATAAGATTTCTCCCCCTGAAGAAATCCACGAGCAACTAACCTTGCCTTCTTTATTGTAACACCATTAACTGGATTCTCCCTGAAAATCCATAGAGAATCAACTTTTTAGCTCTTCGTTGATTGCTTCTCTCCATCCATTATCTTGAATCGCTTCCTCGTAGGAGTTCGGACCTTCATGTAGAAGTTCATCCGCCAATAAAGCAGCAGAAAAATTTGCATCACAATCATTCATCCACGATGGAATCTTTTTCTGTCTTTGTGATCTTCTCAGGTCATTCCCATATATGTCCGGCTCAGTTTCATTTGTATTAGGACCTGGATCCTGTATGACTTGATCTTCCTCAGCATGCAAGTTTTGTTGTTTATTATGTGTTAATATGTGTGTACCATTATGTGTTTGACTTTCAAAGGCAACAACACACAAACGTCAAACATCACTGGAAACAACTTTGAGAATTTGTTTAGGTTTCCTTGCAATAGATAAAGAAGAAAACGTATTTCGAGTTTGTTTCCCCCTAAGACACACATCACATGGTTGTTTGCAAGGATAAACTGACGAATGTCCCATTCACCTGTCTTCATTATCACTTATCCTTATACTATGCGCTTGTGATTCACATGGCAAACCAAGTTCAATTATATACTTACAAATTTCCATTGATTTGACCCGTCAAGAGTACGTTTCCACCTGGTTTTTCGATAAAAACCTTATCGTTGGAAAATACAACAGTGTGACCCTTTTGTCAAAACCTCACAAGATGTCCTCTGGCCCTTGATAGTCTACATGATATCATCCGTGATATGTTGTATTATGAAGCCTCTTGCTTTGACATCTTTTTCCATGAAGGCAGACCTAGGCCCTTCTTCTTCAGGAATTTCTTGAGTCAAGACATCTAGGACTTTATACTGTTCCAATACCAACTCTAATCTGAACAGCCAATTACAAAAAATTGTGTCCATCACCTTTGAATTTTGGTATTGAAACATTTTTCAATACCAAAATTGGAGTTCCCATTGCCATTCCAAGTCAACCTTATCCTCAATTTAGTAGCCCATAACCTGTTACACTCTTTAGTAGAAAACTTTAGACTTGGATTAAAGGTTTTTAATTTTACTTACAAAAATTGGGAGACTGAAACCAACAACTATTTACAACATGGAACAATCACTATTAATATTATTTAATATATGATAATACAATCTGTTCCTAATTCAAATACATTTAAATAATATTTTCATGGACATCAGAATTGATCTTCAACAAGAGCCACAACTTGCTTGCCATTAATAATTTTGTTATCCAGGGTTAGGCAAAAGTCTGGAACCCCCCAGTTAACTTTTTAACACATTACAGTAGGAAAACCAAACTCTGCACATATTTACAACATAAGAAATTGCACTTTTTCATTAAAGTTACAACTCAGCCCCAAATTTTCAAACGTAAACACCTATCATGTGGCCCCTCATTTTAAGGGGTTTCTCAAGACAAATTAAATGGCACAAACTAGAGGTCAATATCGCACCCCTAATCAAAATGGCAGCCATTTTAATTTAAGATGAGCAAGCAAGATAAAGTCTGGGCACCCCCAGTTAACTGTATAACGTGTGGCAGTGGGAAAACCAAACTCGGCACATGTTTACAACATAAAAAAATGCTCTTTTTCATTAAAGTTAGAACTTGTACCCGGCCCCCAAAATGGGGTATTTTGGGGGCAGCCCAAAATTTTCAAATGTAAACAAACACCTATCATGTGACCCCTCATTTTAAGGGGTTTCTCAAGACAAATTATATGGCGCAAACTAGAGGTCAATATCGCACTCTTAATCAAAATGGCAGTCATTTTGAAATATCCCCTATTAACTTTTTAACAGGTTATAGCAGGAAAACCAAACTCAGCATACCTTTATAAAAAAAGACAATTCGCCTTTTGGTCAGTATTAAAATGTTAAATTTTTAAAGTTAACTGGGGGTGTTCAGACTTTATCTTGCTTGCTCATCTTAAATAATTAAAATGGCTGCCATTTTGATTAGGAGTGCAATATTGACCTCTGGTTTGCGCCATTCAATTTCTTTTGATAAACCCTTTAAAATGAGGGGTCACATGATAGGTGTTTACGTTTCAAAATTTGGAGCTGCCCCCAAAATACCCCATTTTGGAGGCTGGGGCAATGTTGTAACTTTGATGAAAAAGTGCAATTTCTCATGTTGTAGATATGTGCCTAGTTTGGTTTTCCTATTGCAACGCGTTAAAAAGTTAACTGGGGGGTTCCAAACTTTTGCCTAACCCTGTAGAGGTCATAAGCCACACTGACCTTAATAAATATAGATATATCTATATCTATAAGATATAGATATCTTATAGATATCTATAAGATATCTATAAGGGTTGTTTTTTGTGTTCCAGGAATTTACTAGAAATAGACATTGAAAAAAATAATAAAAAACTGTTTAAGTTTTTATTTTCTCACTCATGTGTCATCTCCAAATTGATTAATCTGCAAGTAGAAGAAGAAAACCTACTCAACTCAGCAGCTGTGGTAAGGACCCTCGTTGCTTCACAAGAACCAAGGTTTGTAAACGATTTTCTCCTTATAACACAAACAACAAAAAAACAAAATACGTACACTTGAGTCCGGCTAATCCAAACTAGTTGGGACCGAACACTGTTCGGATCAGGTGATTGTTTGGATTAGCCGAAATAATTTAAATACAATAGAACCTCGATTATCCGGAGTAATTGGTGGTAGAGGGAGACCACAGATAATGAAAACCACAGTTGTTAGATTAATAAAATATATATTATATATAATTAAAATATGTAATAAAATATGTAACAAATAATCCATGATAAAATGTTAGATTAAAATAAACCTACCTCATAGTTATGGAAAATATTATATTTAATTTCTTTGTATCAGCTGTCTGAAATTGTGAAATATGCAGTTTAGCAGTTCTTCTTGTTTACATTTAAATAAAAAAGCAAATGTAAACAAACATTGTTAGTGTTCTCATCGCAGCCATGGAGACCAATCAATATTTACTTTTAAAATCTTCACCTCAGAACTTTTAAAGCCAAAGGGGCAAAGCCTACGGTCAGTATCGAAATGTGAATAGTCCTGTAATGGTCCTTGGTATGGTAACTATATTTTCGTAAACTTTTAGCCCAGTTGGTTCAGTATTTTTCGCACCTATTAGTAACACACATACAGACAGACACCATTAGATTTTTATATAATAGTATAGATATAGATATATATATGTGTCCGTTAGCACGATAACTCGAGCAAAAATGATCCGATTTTGATGAAATTTGGTACAAACGTGTAAACGTACGTTTATTCAAACGAGTTCGCGATCCAGCATGATCGGACCATGGGAATGGGGGGTTTTATGGGATAAAAATAGGTTTTTCCCATTTTTGACCCTAAAAACATAAAATTTAGCAATTTCTTTCCAAACCATTTTGTAGAGCTTAAAAAAACAAATAATTTAGTATATTGAAGCGTTATGCGCCTAATGGTTACGGAGAAAATTCCAAAAAATTTTAAATTTAAAATTCCCATGTTATTTTTATGGAGAATAAGTAAACTGTTGTAGTTTGCTTGTTTATGAACATATTTTGATCAAATTTGGAAAATGTTTTTATTTCTTACTAACTATTAACATTTTACAAAAAAAAAAAACTGTTTTACCCTCCCTGATGCAGCAAACCTAAGTACTGGTTAAACTAATTCTATTTAAATCGGGAATAAATGTTATATTTGTAAGTAGACATTTCAGTGTAAATCAAATCAGTCAAATGGAAATTCGCTTAGTCTGCAGGTTTGCTGCGGCGATGGTATTTTTTTTTTTCAAAAACTAACAGTGTAAGCGTGAATCTGTTATAGATACGTCGTTAAATCCACTCTTATGTTCCCAACCGGAGACTTTGGTTGGGGCATCTAATTTAAACACGCCTAAAACTGAACATATCGTAAACATTATTTAATAATGCTATAGTACGGGTCATACTGGTTGGCGTCAAGAGAGAGATTTAGCTTTGCTACATTAGGTCTGAAAAGCTCACTTTACAGTTTGTGGTTGACATACGTTCTCATAGAGGGCACCCGCCTACAGTACATAAGAGATATCCAAAGCAGTATGAGAACGGATCTATATTTAAATATTGTACTGTAGATTACTTTTATAATTTTTTTTACATAATATATTTTACATTTCTATAATCAGTCATAGAAATTTCTTAAGAGTGATTCTATGATTAAGGTTTTCAAATCAAAATCAAATAAAATCAAATTATCCTTTATTCATTTAGTACACAATATACATAAATAGCGTCAATACAATAATCGTGATAAAACAAATATCTTAAAACTAATGTACAAGAGTCAGTGGAAAAAATCTTTTACCTTATAACAGCATTTATTACGTAAAAACTTAAATAACTACTTTTTAAACGACTTAAAAAACATAATGGTTTTGCTGTTTATGTTTTTTGTTCTTCATTATTTCATTACAAGTTGCAGTTTTGCTTGATTTCGAGCAACAGGTTATCTAGTATTAATAATTAATAGACTTTAAAATATCTCAATTAGTTAACTTGTCATTATATTAGTAAAATAAAAAACTTACTTTTTAGTTTTTACTGCCAAAAGTCACATGTTTCTCAAGCTTTCAAAATAACCTCTCCAGGAAATCACTACTCATTAATATCATTATTCTCTGGTTGGATATTTCAAATTGAACACCACAGTATATGATTTCACTATTCTGTCAATTTAATTTTTAAACTTTCAAACATGGATAAATAATTAAAACAGGAAGACAGGTTGTGCACTTGATCAGAACAGAACCATTTCCTGTTTGGAAACAGGAATCAGGCTGCCTCTCCACCTGTATCTAGCCAACTTGGACCCTGAGCTTCTTATCAGTGACCTGTCATCTATTTCTCTCTATCCAGCCTTCCACCACAACAATGATTTGTTTACATTCAGTGTGACGGTGCAATTTCTTCCTGGGACAAAATTTTACTGTCGGCCGCGGACAGCTAATCTAATTGAGTATGCCCAGGGTTAGTGGTAATAATAATAGTATTTAATTTAAAAATATGGGCTCAGGTATGGGGTTGTAAGCATTAGCTTTCAGAAAATGACACATTCATCACTGCCGGGGTTAGGCTTGAAACAAATTAGTAAATTTGGACTAATTGGCGTTAATTCCGTGAGTGAAACACTGGTTGTAACTAACTAAAATCGTTAGCTTCGAAAATAAAACAAATCTCTACTTAATGGATATACCGTGTTTCACTTTTGGAATTAAAACCAACGATGCTTAAAATAAACCAAATCGATTGTCGCGGGTCCACGGGCTATTTCGCTCTGGCCTAACACCTAATATTCGACGATGCCAGAGTTATTCCACCACTGGTTAATTACCGGGCTATTCCGCCCTAAAAATAAGACAAAAAATAAGACAATGTACCACAATATTCATCACCAAATAAATTTAGTATATTAATGTTCTGTTTTTCAGTGACCAAGCAAGGTGTGTTCCTTCTTACACCAAAGTGGTATTGCAGCACAAGAAACAACTTAACCGAGTTAGTATGCACCCAAAAAAGTGGTATGTGTACAGAGCTACAGACCACACCTGAGGTCCAATTTTGATGACATTTGGCAGGCAATGCTCACTTTTTTCAAGTTTTTAAAATTTTTTTGTTATGTTAAATGGTGATTATTCCATAAAACCCAAAAAATTAACAGAAAAATCAAAATCAATATAAAACAAATTGACTAATTTTGATTAAAAAAGAGTATGTTGTTACAGTCCTTTTAGTTCTAAAAAAATGGTACAACTTCCATTTTTGTACTAGTTATGGTTCAAGTTATGGGTTGTTAACAAGCTAATGGGATATCAGATTATGTACAGATATTGCTGACACTGTTCATTTTCAGATACAGTGTGTAAATTAAGTCTTGAAACAAATCTGTATTTTTTTTAACTGATATAGATAGAAATATTCTGTTTGTGGCATTGGTTGTTAACGAAAGTTCCGTAATTTTTTACATCAAAAATATTGTTAACCCCCCTAACAGGGTAGGGGGTAGGGGTGACTTATTTTTTTCAAATAGCAACCCCTATTGAGTGACCCCTCATTTTGATGGATTTGTCAAAAGAAACACAAAGAACGCAAAGCCAAACTGGATCACCCCTAGGCAAAATGGCAGGTATTCCAAAATTTGATTTACCGTATGTAAAAAAGCACCAATTTCACAAACAATGGAAACAAATCTGTATTTTTTTAAACCAAAATACAGTAGACCCCCTCTTAACCGACCTAGGTCGTATAATATAACTCAAAAGGTCGGTTAAAACGGGCAATCCCTAAAATCATAACATAATGGAGTGCTATTCATTTGAAATTATATAATCATTATTTTTAAGTCACACTTGCATTATTTATAAAAGAAACTGCTCTTCCTTTTTCGTATTGATAGAAAAGTCACAAATAAACACAAAACACGGTTAACTCAAATAGGCCTACTTTCAGTGGAATATATTATAATACTAGGCAAGACTCAATAACAACCCATCACATTATTAACACTCTTATTAACAACCCATTGTTAATAAGAGGGGGTCTACTGTAGATAGAAATATTCTGTTTGTGGAATTGATTGTTAACATAGGTTCCGCAATTCTTTACATCAACAATATTTTTTATTAATCCCTTTAAAAGGGTAGGGGGTGAGGGTGATAATTTTTTTTAAATAACAACCCCTATTGAGTGACCCCTCATTTTGAAGAGTTTGTCAAAAGAACACAGTGACGCAAACCCGAGGTGGATATTTTACCCCTAGCCTAAATACAGTAGACCCCCTCTTAATCGACCCTAATGGGACCGGACCTAGGTCGGATAACTCAAAATTTAGGCTAGGGGTGAGATATCTACCTCGGGTTTGCGTCATTGTTTTTACAAACACTTCAAAATGAGGGGTCACTCAATAGGGGTTGCTATTTGAAAAAAATAAGTCACCCCTACCCCCTACCCTGTTAGGGGGTTAAAAAATATTTTTGATGTAAAAAATTGCGGAACTTTCGTTAAATATTTTTGCCACAAGCAGAATATTTCTATCTATTTCGGTTTTAAAAATACAGATTTGTTTTTAAGACTTAATTTACACACTGTATATTCATAAACATATTTTTCATCATACTGCAGCAAAAACAGCCGTTTTTAATTTCATGCGGTGCGGGTCTAAAGTAGCATTTTTACTCTCTAGGGAGTAAAAATCATTTTTAGTTCCTATGGAGTAATAATCAGCTGTTGTAAACAGCTGATTACAACAGCTCATCATGTTATGGTTGGTTGTAAGTTTTATTGTTGTGTGTTTTTAAACGTGTAAATTCCGATTGTGGCAATCATATCGATCGAAATTATTTATCGATTGATTTATTAGGTAAGGTGTTAGCCTATTGTTGTCGATCGTTCGATATATCGATGGTATAATGTACACAATCGTAATAGACAAATGGATGACATACTAAACTAAACATCTGCTTATTTGCATTAGTATAATTGAAAACAAGCTGGAAGTCGTTTTGAGAGGTTATCTTTACATACAAATTATTCTGTTTTCTAGCTCAGTTTTTTAATTAATGATGCAATATGACGAAAAATATAGTTCACCACACGGGCAAAAAGTGTCTTTTTAGCCCTCGCTCATTTTCCAACCTCGATCGTAAAACATGACCTCGGGTCAAAAAGAGAAACTTTGGGCCCTAGTGATGAAATATACTATAATTCACCAGGTATGCCTGTTGAAAAGCCTTTCTACCACAATATAAACAGCAGTCAACCTAAATGATTTTTCCTTAAAAAATTAAATAACTTATACAGTATAACTACAATCATCCGAACTCCAATTATCCGAATCGCCAATTATCTGAATCGCTTACAGATATAAAAATTAAAAAATATAAAACATCAGTAATAAGAATTGTTATTAAAGAAGGCAGAAGCCGTCATCGCGGCAAATTCCAAAACATGTCTCGCAATTGTGTTCACACCATCGTCTCCCGCAGTCACGGAAACATTGTCATTGTTTTTTCACAATCGTGGCAAAATAATGAACATATCCCACGGTCGTGAGACACCATAATCGTCTCTAACGGTTCCGGTAACATAGTCATAGTTTTTTGCCATTGCGGCAAAATTATACATTTATCCCACGGTTGTGTAGTCACGATCATCGTCTCCTGCAGTCACCGAAACATCATCGTTCTTCACGATCTCGGCAAAATGATAAATGTAGTCCACGGTCGTTTGGACACCATCATCGTCTCGCGCGGTCAGGAAACATCGTCATAGTTTTTTCGCGATTGCGGCAAAATGATTAACATATCCCAGAGTCGTGTAGATACCATCATCCTCTCTCGCGGTGACGGTAACATCGTCATCATTTTTTGCCATTGCAGCATAATGTATTATAATTCTATAATTATAATTGTATTATAATTATAGTGCTAATTAATTAAATCCCACGGCTGTTTAGACACCATCATCGTCCCTCGTGGTCACGGAAAATCATAATCGTACTCCATAATCGCGGCAAAAGGGTAAATTTTTATCCAATTGCGAAATTGTCGCAGACACGTTTTGCGATCGCAATAGTAAAAGCTCAGCATGACTCGGCCTATTTTCTTTAAAAGAATCTGAATTTCGGTAAATATCCAACTATCCGAATTGTTTATTACCGTATCAAAATGGATAATCAAATGGTCCCAATTAATTCGGATAATTATTGGAGTTCTAAAATTAAATAAGTTAAATTATTTAAATAAATTTTGTCTGCTGCCTAAACCTGGTTTATAAGTAAACTAGTTGGTGAATCATTCCCAGCTACCCTGTCACCATTAAAAACAAAACATTATTATTGCAGGTGGTGTTTCTTGAAGCTCTCCTTGGTCCATTATGGCCTCAAGTTACCATCCTGACGCCAGAAGAAATTATGACTTATATTGTACCAGTAGCCATGAACTGCTTTGAGAGTGAGCTTTCCCGCACTTATGCTCTGCAATTGCTGGCTTCTATTATAAACAAATCTGCTGACAGTAAGTAATTTACTTTTAACAAACTTTCCAAATAGGGAACAAGCTGTTACTGTAGTTCTCATAGTAAGACCTGAACCTAGGACCGATTTACTTTTTTGTTTTGATGTCCCCAGAGGTCAAAAACACCATGCGTTAAATCCATTATGTGTGTCTGTTCTGTTAGCTTGATAACTCAAGTAAAAATCATCCGATTTCGATACAATTTGGTACAAAAACGAGTAAATCTGCATTTATTTGAACAAGTTTGCAAACAAGTATGCCTATGAGAACAAGGTTTTACGGAGTAAAAATTGGGTTCTCCTATTTTTTACTCCTAAAGCAATATTTTACAATTTCTTTCCAAAATATTTTTTTGAGCTTAATAAACAAATAATTTAGTATGTTGAACAGATGTATCCCTAATTTTTACAGAGAAACTAAAAGTTAATTGGGAGTTTATTTGACATCTAGTCCTAAACTTATAGCCATTTTAAGGCAAACATAACTAAAACCTAACCACAGAGATATAAATATAAGTGATATAAATATAAGCACTCATCCTCTGTAGGCCTAAAGCTACCTACCTATATTTTATTTGGGTTAGGATTAGTACTTTTTTGAGAGAGTGTCATTATGTACTGAACACACATACAATATACCTATATTTAGATGATATAGGGTATTAGTGATTCATGAAATTATTAATTTATAAAAAGCAACCTAACCGAGTTACCTTAATGATGTACCCAGTATTTAATACAAAAATTAAAGCTTATGCCTATGTATATTAGTTTTAAAACGGAGTAGAATAAGGCATGTATAATCTAGATTAGGCATTGATTAGTGTTAATAAACTAAACATGGATGAACCACTAAGTCAAGCTACTAATCCAGTTGTTCAGGCTAGGCTAAACTGAGCCCTGAAAGCATCCATCTCAAAACGGCCAAAACTTAATAACAGATCCTAGGGTTTGATTTATTTTAAACTTTATTTTTCTGAAATAGATCGCTAAACTGTCCAGTGCAATCATCCCACACTGCTAATAGCAACACTCAAACTTAGTTAGGTAAGCTAGTGGTAGGTTACAATTAATTATTATCCCTGTGACCGATTCAGTGTAACATCTGACATCAGTCAGAATCAGACGACATTATTGACGACGACACGACACGACAACCAACGAAAAGAGTAATTTAGTGATAATAATTATTATTCAAAGCATTAAAAATAAAAATATATATCGCTCGTTTATATTGGCAAAAGTATTAAATAAACATGCTGAGGATAATGTAAGAATAGTTTTTTAATGGATTAGAAACTCATTACTCTGGAAAGTTTTATAATGTAATACAAATTCTTATACATCAAACGATTTAATGAACTGGAGCAAAGTCGAGTCGTTCTCTTTCTCTCTGTCTCAAGCTGACAAAATTGTATGTCAGAAGCTAACACATCAGAAGTTGGGAAGTACAACAGTTACCTCGGATAGTGCTTCCAGAGCTTTCTGCGCATGCGCAAGCTGAGGTGCCTGTGGTTGGTTTGTGTGTATCTCCAAACATAACTCGTTCATTCAAATAGTACGATCAATTTGTTATGTTAGTTTATCCTCAGTAAAAGAAAATTGAATGCTCCTACTTGTCATTTACCTAGCAATTTTAATTTTGTACACTGATAATTCAGGCATTAACAGGATAACCCAATAGGTTTCATCTTGATCTGACCTTAGGGCTCCGCTAGAGACATTGACAAAGTTCCTATTACCGACGGTATTCAAATAATAACTACGGTAAATAAAGAAGTGAAGAATCGCTTTAGAATTTTGAAACCAGTTCACCACGATATTAACTAATTTAATAATGTATAGTTACATTACCAGAACTGAAATTGTATTTAAAACAATCCATCAAAAGCATAAATGTTAGTCCAGGATTATGTATATTACATTATAACAAAACTTCTAGTGAAACTAAAATTTATGCGTAGATTATTTATTGTTAAAATAAATCCTATAGTTTTATTATATGTGTAGTTCAATCTTAATAAACAGATGCTTCTTAAAAAACCTGTCTGCAATATGAAACAGATGATTGTTATGGGGATTTTAGTATAGAAAAGGGTAAATGAGTGGGAGATTTACCATGATAGGGAAATCATATGTTGAATTCCAACCGCACAATTATTTTAGACAGACTATAGTTTTACAATATTTGAAATATAGTTGCTGAGAGTTTTGTAAAACAATTTTTCCTGGGATTGGGTGAAGATTTTGGTCATAAAGTCAGTGGCGTACTGCCATAGTTGGGGCCCTGGGGCGGCTTAGATGAAAAGATAAATACCATAGTACCCTTTTTTTTAAATAACTTAATTTTTTAAATTATTTAAAAAAGGGTACCATGGCATTTATTAAAAAAGTAACCCTAAAAAGTGAACAGAACTAAAAATATATATACATTATAATGTAGGTATTTTTTATTACTGACTGATTAAATTAGCTTATGCAGGCTACTGCAACTAATTTGAATGTAATCTATTTTTTTATTTGAGAAAAACTGAATTATGCTAAATAAAATTTTCCTTTAAGCTTTTAAAATTTTACGCTTTTATGAGTTGGAGATTCGTAATAAGCATTTGAGCATTCCAAGAAGTACCACAAATCAGGGTTTTTTTTTAATTGTCACTCCTTTTAATATATTTCTTTATTTAGGAGATAATATCTTTGTATAAAATACAGTATTAAAATTAGGGATGGACGAGATTGGATTTTTAGTTCGAGACGAGACGAGACGAGATTTTTTATTTCTCATAAAATTTCGAGACGAGATCGAGACGGGATTTCCCTTCTCATACACAACGGGAAATGCATGTTCAAAATTTTTACCTGATTTTGTAACATTGTTAGATGACTGTTTAAATACAAAAATAATGATTATAGGCAAGAATATTTACAATCTTTTATTAAAAAACATCAGCATAACATTTTTTTATTAATCACGCCTAACTTATTAAAAATGCCTACGATTAGGAAACATAGTGATATCAGTTAGGATAGAGTTCAACTTATCCTAAAATAAAATAAATCATAAAATAAAAGCAATATTAATTTTTATAAAATAGTTACTTGTTTTTACTTTTTATAGTAATAAAACATTCCTCACACTGCTTACACTTAACAAAACTTCTCAAATGTTATTAAAGTTATATTATTAAAATAATTAAAGTAATATTTACATTTCAAGAATTAATTAAATAAGAACGCCTTCGCATTGGAAACGCAACTACAACACGTTCCTGTATTGCGGGTATTGCATTGACTTTCTGCAGGCGTTTTTATTTATTTTTTTTTTTTTTATTCTCGTCTCGATAAAAATCTCGGCCAAAAAGAAATCTCGTCTCGTGTAACAAGATTTAAAATTTCCCAAAAATTTCCCGAAATTTCGAGACTTGACCATCCCTAATTAAAATATTATCTTTATCGTATAACATTATATTTTTTACTATAATTGGTCCAAACGACATCTGCGATTGCGGTAAAAATGAAAGATACTGTCCTTGGTTATGACAAAATCGTGAGCATCTTCCGTGTTTGCGGAGTCATCTTCGTCTCCCGCGGCCACGTTGGTTATCTTCCAAGATCGCGGAGCAATCGTAAACATTTCCTATGTTCATGTTGGAATAGTGAACATCTTTCACGGTCACGGGGATATATTTTATATCTCCTGCCTTTAACACATTCGCTACCGATCGCCACATATTTGCGACACTGAGGTCATTACCACGGCCCGAGGTATATATTTTAATATTACACATGGAACCGGGTGTAACTTTGTTAACAGTACACCCAGACTGGGCCCGTGATGCAGCAAGGTAAAAATTAGTTTTGCCAACTATCATATGACGTCACTAATCATCATACCCACAGACCACAGATATTTTTACAAATTTACATGTAGGCCTAAATCAAGCTGGTGTAATTTTCATTGGTATACTTATTTTGTAGTTGTTTTTTTTTTTTTTTTTTGTAAACAGCATCGTTTCATGTTCTCCAAGCACCTTATAGGCTTCTTATTTGACTATTAAATTAATTGTTTTAAAAGTGTAGGCTACACAAGGATTAATGTTAAATCTATTGGCAAGAATTTCACTACGCAACAAACGACTGATTGTTATTCATTTTGCAGTAACCTGAATTATTTTCAAACGGCAATACAAAGTCTGTATATATTGATTTGAATCTGTTTTTCTATGTTTCCTCTAATTTGAGAGAACGGCTGGGCGTATAAACTTGGTAGAGGTGTCTAAAGAAAGGTCTTTGTAGATTAGCCATCAAAAAAGAAATGAGGTAAATTCCCTCGGGCTCTGCCCCAGTTGTCTTTAAAATTCCATTCCCATTTCCCATGTTATTCTTATGGAAGAAAAAACCCGGCTTTTTTGTCACAACTAATTTGAGAGAACGGCTGATTGTATAAACTTGGTAGGGGTGTCCAAAGAAAGGTCTTGGTTTGTAGATAAGCCATAAAAAAACAAGCTAAATTCCCTTGTGACTCAGCCCAATTACCCTTTAAAATTTTTTCGGGTTGGGTTGGGCCAGCGGAAGGCCCGAGAGACCAGGTCGGGTTAGAGATTTGTTCGGGCCAAGATCGAGTCGGCCAAAAAAACGAATAATAATTTATTTTTTAAGAAACACAAAACACAAACAAAAATCTGTAATTAGGTATCTATATATTAATAGGCAAGCATGTTTCTAAAAAACTTTTTTCTCAGCTCTTGTTTATCGCAGGGAATATCTACGTATACTGTTAGAATGATATTTTTCTGTAGATGTGCAAAATCCCTTTACAAATTAAAATAGGCTCAAAAATAACCACAAAAAATTACTTAAAAATTTAAAAAAAAATCTACATTTGTCTTATGGGTTGCCATGCTGGTGACGAAATAACAACGCAATATAAACAGGAAATCAAAACAAACTGAAAAAATTCACTGAAAAAAATCACATGTTTTATTTACACTGTGGGGTGAA